CCCATTTGACTTGATTTTTAGATACTGATATTACTTCCTTTTCTCTCCAGTCACCAACAGATTGAATCTCTGTGTTTGCATTCACTTGTTTTTAATTCAGGAAGATGTTGCTTTAATTCTAAAAAAAACCCTCCTCCGTTGTTTCCATATTAATGAATTTAATTTGGCATTTTTTTTCCCTCTATGCACCTTTATTTGGTATAGTGTTTTATTTAGCCTATGGCTCATTTTAACATTGCCACTTATAAATAGCCTGTGCTGGAATACTTTAGAGAATTCTTCTGCACTGTGATGATCATTAGTTGCCTGATAGGGGGAAGGTGGGAAGGGACCACAGGAGGGCTCTAGTCCAAACTCCTGCTCAATGCAGACTCAGCCATGAGCTCAGGCGAGTTGCTGGTAGGTGCACAAATCCACCCCCTCCCTAGGCTGAGCGAGCCCCCTGCTCTCAGCCTCTCCTCACAGGGCTGCAGCCCCAGAGCAGCTCAAGCACTGTTGTCTTTCTTGTATGGAGGGGCCCAAACCAGGATGCATGATTCTCAACATGGTCTAGAAAATAGTGTTTTACCAATATTGTAGTGACCAGAATGAGACACACAGGCTCTGAAGAGGAACAGTTACCAGCTGAAGGAGATTTAAGGACATGAGAGAAGAAAAAGTTCAAAGGTACTCATTTTGAGACTAACAGAGTTCAGTCAGAACCAGAGTGCAGGACTTCCTGGGGAACTTTTTTTAACAGGCCGCATATAATGCACTTATCATGTGTCTTGAGACTTCAGTCCCCACATATCTCAGAGAAGTGACTTTCTCGGATCATAGCATTCATCCAAACACAATTCTCTCTCATGGAAGTACACTAGGAAAACACAGTTTGAGAGGATTAATCCCATTTCCTTGGTACATAGAACTTGTGTGATTCATCGCCACCATTTGTTTGAGCAGCATTAAATGTAAGCATCTTAGTTGTATCTATACACCCACACTGAAGTTTTTATATAAGATTCAAATGTGCCTGATTAACATAAGAAAACCCAGTGCATATTTGTAGAGCAGGTGCAAGCATTGTCTCATCCCTTCCTGAACAAAAGGTTAATACATTCCCACAAGTGACTTAATCCAACCTTCTCGCTAAAAATTATATGATTGTAAATGGATATAAATGAAAGATGAAAAGCTTCAAGAAATGCACTGTAATTATTAGTTAATATTCAGAAGGGGCAGGTAGCTTAAAAAAGAAAAGTTACACCACTACCTACCAACAACGACTTGCACACGTTGCATTAATTTCAAGAATTAATTATGCTGTAAAATATAAGCTTAAGTACATACAGCGTGTGCAATGTAGGAGTGCACTGTAACAAGATCTGCAGTTCATGTTTTGACTTGTAGATTTAAAATCTAAGTGAATTGAAAGAACTATAAACCCAGAGGATTTAAGTTTTATGATGCAGAACCCTATTGAAAAGGGAAAATAGCAACTGGGTAGAATATGAATGATACTAGTAGTCCCAGATTAATTTTATGAATTTTATTACCTCAGTTAAAATTTGTTCAAGTATGTATGTAATGGATATAATGTAATTAATTACTGTATATAGAAAAATGATTAACATAGAGAGAATGATTAACATTTCCTGATAAGAGGTCACCATAACATGACAGGATGTGAATTGGGCCTGGGTAATAAAATTCTGTGTGCGCATACACATGTGTGTGTACAGGTTGGTTTGGGAACTTAATCCTATTGAGGAGTAAAAATCTGTTGTGGATGTCTCCTATCTAGAGGTTTTCTAACCCCCGAGGATAAAAAGGATGCATGAAAAGCCTGATCAAATCAGCAGCAGGTTCCCTCAAACCAGGAAGCACCGCAAGGATGGCACAGGGGGACAGTCATGACAAGGACAGAGGTGGGACGGGTAGGGCAGCACCCCAGCCTCCTCACCCATCTAGCGGTGGCTCCAAAGGTCGTCTCACAAGAGGAGGAGGGTGGACACTTGAATGGCGCTGCAAGGAAGCTACCAAGGACTGCAGTTATTGATGACCAGCTGCTCTTTCTAACAGGCTTATGGAGAGCAGGGAGCTGCAGTGATAGCTGTCAGTATTGCTGAGCTGCTGTTTATTGTGCATTTGCTCAGAGGAGGCTGAAGAAACTTATTTCCTCATAACCCGGGTTTTGTTAATCCTTGTTACATATGTTTATTTAACATTTATACGCTTTTGTGTGTCTGTCTGGAAGACAGGAACTGCATTTCAACTTTTAAATGGGAATTTTTTTCAACTGAATTGTGTTCTGTTTTGTTGATTTTTTTAATTTTATTTCCTTTAGCAACAAAGCCTGCACATTCTTTAATTCTTTCCACAATAAATTTTTAGATAGACCGACCTAATTTCAGGAAGTCTTGAACAGAGCTAGAAATTCTAACATGAGGTAGTTCTCTCAATGTTACGAAGATATAAAATCATGCTGAAGCTTATCCTGCTTATCATGCATAATGCAGTATGTGTACAGATATGTGAAAGCCTGCCTAAATCTAAGAGATTTAATTTAGCTGTGTTTTTATTCATAAGATTTTCTTACCATGACAGGAGGTAGTTATGCTGATTCATTTATTCTTTAAACCATCTAGGCATTAACATCTAAGCATGCTTACAGTCCGCAAGGAAATCTATTAGGCAAGAAAGTGGGTCACGGATTGCTGCAGTGAAGCAGTGATTACAGGGCAAGAAGGCCAAGGGTGTAAGGCACTCACTAGAGATTTTAAAACCTAAAGGAGAGGTGTTAAGTTGCTGGATTGTAATTTATAAAGATGTACATAATGTTGGCTTACTTTGAATGATAATACAAATAATGTCAATTTTATTACCTCCCAAGTAGTATAATTTCTACGAATGTTTGAACTGCATAAAAAGAAATTTAATTGCCTGCACTCTATGAAAGTTGCTTGACTGGACAGTGGTAGAAAGATATTAAATTACAGAGATCCAATGATTGAACTTCAAAATAAAAAGGAATACTTCAACTATTAAACTGTATGCAGTATGCTTTTCTGTATTAATCTGAAGCAATAATGTGTAACTATTTGTAATTAATTTTTGGTTTCATAATCTTAGTTCTAGGCCTTACTGAATCTTCCTCATTCTCAGCTGCCAGAGCAACCTGAAGATCCCCCACATATCAGAAATCTTCTGAGTACGGTAGAACCGATTATCTGATTTTCTTCTGTTGTGTTTTTTTCTGAAGTGAAGAACTGGCATACCGCTATGCTCACCTTCCCAATGGTTCCTGTAGCAGAAAGTAACTCCAATTTAAGCAGCATTTCCTCTGTTAAGAAACAAACAAACAAAAAGCAGAACCCTTTTGCCTGCTCAGATGAAATGCCAGCTCTGGGAGTAGTTAAACTCTGTTAACCTGTTGTCCAGAACAACTGCAGAATCTCCGTCTTCAAAATTTTTCAAAACTTGACAAGTCAAGCAACCTGATATAACTTTTAAGTGCTTTGATCAAGAGGTTGAATTAAATTACACCCAGCCATTCCTTCAGAAGGAATCTCTCCATTAGAAGTAGAATCATTCAAGTATATTAATTTTTTGAATTGTGAATACAGGTAAAGATCCATTCAAATGTGGTTTAGAAGCACTTGTTTTCTTAAGCACATACATCAACTCTAGGGGGACTTTCTTTCAAGTCTTTGTTTTTTAAATACATTCTGAGTAAACACTGAAAATCATTAGCAGCACAGGCTGGTAACTCAGAGAGGTGCTCTTAAATGCCAGTGAGTACCAGCATTACCTACTTCAGTGGGTATCTCCTGCCCCCTTCAGACCATTCCCAGCAATAGAGAAAAAGAATTATTATTCACCCAGACATTAAAAGCATCCCATTCTTTTGCACCCATTTTCAGATGGGGACAGGGGAAGAACCCTAAGAAGAAACATATTGAGATAGTTGGTGAATGTTTCTGTGTATCAGCAAAGGATTTTTTTTCATGTTAAAACTGCACAGTAATGCAATTATCTTAATAAGACAAACGATACTTCAAGTTACGTATCTAGCTGTTAAGTTCAATAGTCACAACTGAAGGAAAAAAAAAAAAAGACCTTAAAGACTGCAAACTGGGCCGTGGAAAACCTGGAAATCAACTCACGTTTCACAGCTGAAATGAAGTACACCCTTTAAAAAGAACAAACAGCAACACCAGACCCAGTTAGTATGTTAGCAAGGACAACTGTAAATGTATCTAATCATATAATAAAGTTAATATTTTGTGTTTGGGATGTAATGTGGTACATTTTTTTTTAGCTTGCCCGAGAAGGTTTTTTTAAAAGTAGATTAAAAGAGAAGATTTAAAAGATTATTTTATGCATTGAGTGTTCTTTCTGAAAGGAAAGAAAGAAATTAAGCTTCTGAAAGGTTGCTTTGTATCCATCTCCCACTAACACAACCTGCTGAGATAACAGCAAATATAAACACCAGGCTTTCTTATGGTGATATTGCTTTATTATTTCCTCACACACAATTTAAGAAAACTGGTTAAGGAAGACCAGCAATACAGATTTGATGGTGCACTTCATTCCATACACCCCATAACATAAAGGTTCCCAAAGAATAAAACTTACTTTTTTTTTAAAGGGGAAAGAATGTATCAGTATTTTTTCAAAACTGAAATAGTTATTTTCCACTTTGGTGAATCTGAATTTTCAAAGCTTCTAATTGAAGTTCTCAGATACATTCAATGTATTCTATTTGCTGTTCTGTCTGTACTTATTTTGGTGCTAATAATAATAATAAAAAAAACCAAACAAAGTAAAGTTTCCATTTTTCTTGTCACAGGTTTTCAGCACACTAAGGAAAAACCTCGACATCATCCTTCAAGTTAAATCATTCAGATGTGACAGAAGGCTCCTCCTGTTCACATGCGTATTATACATCCATTGAAATGTAATGCAATACATCACTGAGGTATGTTGAGTTTTGCTTTTAGCAGCTTGCTTTTGTCTTTTTTTTTTTGAACCTTATAAGTTTTGGTTTATCATCCCCATTCCTTGGCACTCAATGATGTAGGTATCTTTACTGGGATCATCCTCTTCTGTTTTTGTCACTGTAAATTTGGCCTAAAACAAGATTAGAAATACATCACTAATTAAGTTATAACATACAAAAATACTCAGTATCTGATGTCCAATAATCATACTGCCGTGTGTATGTACCTATTACAGCTTTGACTGATTTAATTAAAAAACATTTTAAATAAAGATGGTAAAAGCATCTAACCATTCTAAAGGCATTTAACTCTAAAGTATGTTCACTTTCTACAGGTAAACTCCCATATAAATATTGTAGCAATTATTTTGTCAGTGCTTGTCCTCCATTATCAAGTTCAGTTCACAATGCCTGCTAAACTGCACGTTTCCTAGTTACTGGATGACAACCAATAGGTAAAACTTCCTCAAGTTTTGGACTCACCTTTGTTAGCTGCTCTGCAAAGTGTATAGCAGTTTGAGTATGAAGTGTAATTGGTCCACTTTTTACTCTAGACACCCCCTTTGCTAGCGCCATAAAAATGATCAGCTGCAACAGAGGGAAAGGTGATTATTAATTAACTCTTCAGACCCTAGGAACTTACTGATTGAAGAAAAACAAGAAAAAAGGAAAAACTTGCAAAATGTCTGTAAAATGTATGATGTAAAAATGTGGTCTGCAAAGTTTCATAAAAGTTCATGGTGCTGAGTGTTAAGAGGGCTCAAAAGCTCAAGAAGCTTGGAAGTGACTACTGAAATGCCTATTAAAGAAAGGCTGTAACTTTTCCACAGTGGAGTTTGGCACTGAATTTCTGTTACTACATTTAACTTTGCTCTCCCTTGCCCTCCCACCCCAAATTCCCCAAATTCATGTCAGGCTCTTGCTACTTCAACTGCATGTAACCTATACAGGAGCCTTACTTGGTCTTGCAGAGAATCATCCACAGTTCCACCATGTTTAAGATTCCTAAGCAGCATCTCAGCTGCTTCAATGCCAACCTTGTCAGCGTTCTTTCCTAACAAAGTATTCAGGAGATTAGGATGCTGCCAATAATTATTTAGTATTTTAAAAAAACAGAAGGGGAAAAAAAATCAGGACATTATCAACTTTTTAAACCTTATTTCCATGCTCCTGCCTCAAATATCTGCTTTAAAAATACCCTCCCATCTTATGATGACACATAGTTCATATTTTCTAAGCAGTGGGGAGGGAGTAGTCCCACTTACAGTCAGAGACACACTTTATTCAAACCATTTAAAACCAAAATCACTTTTATTCCTTTTAATTTAGATACACATCTAGATTCAGTGCTGAACAAAAATTTCACAGGTAAACCATAAAGACGGTAGGTTCTTAAAGTCCAGAAACATTTTTGACTCAGTGATCCGTAACAATCCATTCTGATAAAACGCAAGTTTAATAATTTTGTAATTTTTGTCCCTAGGCAGAAACCACCTAGAAGTATAATATTCCATTTACTACGTTTAAAATCTGCTTATTTCCACTGTCCTTTATTATGAAACAACATTCATTTAAAAATGCAACACTCAAAGTATCAGATCTTTGAACAGATTATTCTTCAGTTTCCAATTAGTCTATAGCACATTAAGTTAAATCTGAAAGAAGTGTATTTCATGCTTACCTCTCTTGCCAAGTGATGATCCAGCTAACAAACATCCTGTTGAAGTCTCTGCAACAATGCTAAGCAGAAAAAACAGAATCAATAGTAAACACAAAATTCACTTACGTTATGCTGTATTTATCAGATAAGTAATGACCAGCTAAGTATTTATCAGATAAGTAATCAAGATCTAGCTAATCAACCAGCAAGGTTACAGTTACCAACAGAACGTTTGGGCTCATCTTACATTATTCCACTTCCAGTCCCAACGGCTTGATTGTCAGGCTCCCGAACAGGCTGAATGCTAATGTAGAGATCTCTGATTTCTTTTCTGATGCATCTCACTGCTGCTGCTGCCATGTCTTTTGCCAGCTAACAAGGTAAGAGGTAAAAACATTAATTAGGTAACTATAGTAATACTTTTTCCCCATAATTCTAATTATTACAGTGGATGCCTGAATAAAGGAGCTACTTTATTAACTAGGGAAAAAAAAGGATTGTTGTAAAAACCCTAAAAGCAAGCACTGAACATCATCTCTTCTTCATCCCTCAAAACTAAGGCAACATTGAATGCTGAACAAACTACAATTATAGTGATACAGGTAGAAGCTTCAATATCAACAGGAATTCAAGAACTTTTCTCCGGGCATGGGGAGAAAGATTTGATTTTAGTCTCAATTATCTCAAGACATTAGACTGTAAAAAAAATAAAACAACCCAAAACAAACTACGATTCTTATGTACAGGATGTACTCTATTAGATATAATATACAAAATAACAATTTTAAATCACAGGCAGGTGGGGGCAGATGGAGCTTATCCCATCCTTGTGAACCAATGGGAGAAAAAGACGATCATAACCAATATTCATATGTTTGGACATTTTAAGACCAAAACTAGCAGTCTACAGTTCTTCAAAAAGTAACTCAGTTCCTCCTCTCCCTTCCTCTACTGCTTCCCGGCCTGGGTGTGAGAAGGAGCCTTGAGGAGATCCCACCACTCATCCTAAGTAAACACAGACAGGACAGGAATAATAGAAAGAAGGGGAGTATAAAGGGGCAATGTTTTCTCTGTTTTATCTTTCGCTAAACCTACCCTTAACTTGTACTGTCTAGTACAATGCAATGGTCGAAAAGTTTGATGTAGTCTGACCTCCACCTATTACAGTGCATCATAATTTACCTATAAATCTATGAATGAGGGCCATGATTTCCAATTTAAAATAATCCACATAAGTATGAACAATATGTAAATCAGATACAAGATACCCCTCAATATATGTAAGACTTTTCAACAGTAATATGGAGGATACCAAGAATAAAGTTCTCATTTCCTGTTTTAGCTGCTACAGTATTGCTATGCAATAAATGCAATTCAGAAATGTTGAAAATTCTACTCTATGGCCTCAATAATTGAAACCATTTAATAAGGCTACTTAGTTCGTATGCAAAAGACTGCAGAATACAGGAACACTAGCAGTATGTTGAGCGGATAACGTGCAATTTTATATGGATATATGAAGTTGGGTGCTACCAGAGCTATTACCAGCACTTACTTTTATAGGCAGTGCTCCAGCTACAAATGCTCTTCCATATATTTTTGTCACTGTGCCACGTTCTGTTAAGTTTATTGGGCTCAACTCTTTGACTGGTGACATCTGGACTACAACTTCACCACCTCCCTGAGGATAGTAGCCCCTATTTAGAAACAGTAATCAGGTATAATTAAATGCAAAGATCACAAGAAGACCAAGAAAAGAGCCAGAAGGCTCTTCATGTATGTCATTGTACATTTTTATGTTCTTCCTTACTATACATATGGATTTTGTTGATGTGTGCCTTAGAAATCTTTATAATAGAATTAGGTTTTCTAACAGTATTCATAACACACGTACTTATTAACTACCTAACACCAACATAACTGGCACTTCAGAAAAAGCTCAGTATATATAAAAACAATATACTGCCTGTTCAGCATGCACTTCCCTCAGGGGTAGCCCATCAGAAACATTCAACAGCAGCTGAAGACTCAGCAATGAAGAAAAAACAACAGGGATGAACCATATCACATTCATCATATGGTGACAGTATGCACAGGGACAGCCAATGCAGACTAGTTCATGTATTACAAATTCATCTCTCAGCTTGACTGAGGGCACCTCGTGTGTGTGCCTCTGTGCTCACGCACTGGTTCACTAAGGCTTGTCTCTGCCACACATCTCTGTAACTCACCTCTTTTTTATGTCACAATTAAATGTGAAATTGAACTTTTCAACTATTGGCTTAAAAACCTGAAAAGGAAGAACACATAAAAACACAAGACTGAATCAATTTTGCATTTATAATTTTTCACTATTTTACACAGCCTTCAAAAAAAACCCCACTCTACGCAAAAACTTCAGTTACGTTATAAAAAACGGCCAGTCCCTCTCATCCATACAGTCTGACATTCCTCACACTTCATTCTGAATGACACTTTGTATAAAAAGATTTTCTTATGGAAGGAGGAAGAGAAATTCTTAACAAATCACAGCATAGAGAATAAATTTTAAGCAAAATTTCCTTTAGTGATTAAAAGCAAACAGACTAGTTGCTGATTCAGGGAGTTCCAGGAAGCACTGGTTGCTCCATACACACAGTACACTAATAGTGCTATATTCCCACGCCTAATTCCATAATTACAAATAAACTTGCAGCAAGAGCAACAGAAGTACGGTAGTTGCATTCCATATATATGCATGAAAGATGCACCAAGCCAAAGAAGTTTTTCCCTACCATGACTGTGTAGTCTATCTGAGGAGCCATCTCAGCATTAGTCCCACCTTTTAAATGAAGTTCTGATGGGGAAGCAGCAAACAGCACACAGGGCATTGCTACCTGCATCAGTAGACACACACTCCTAAAAGCAATTACAAGATACCCAAATGTCGTCAGTCATAATCCACAGAATTCCATACAATCATTACATACCCAAAGGCAAATTACTTTCCAGAGCATTTACATAAGTGTTTGATTTTGAACATTATTTGTAAACTTACTAGTCTTAAGAAATACTAATGTAAAACTTCATGTGCTTAGCAAGCCTAAATACAAAGGTTTTCATTTCACAATAACAGCATCTTTAATATTGCTGTTTGAAATAAAATTACGGTAGCTTAGTATAGTGATGGCACTGCAAACTGTAGGTTTAGCTAGCAGATGATAAAAGCAGAAAAGGTTTAGACAGCAATTTTAACATTTTAATACTTGTTTAGTAACAAAATATTTATAAAAATACAAAATTGCTGAGAAGCTGGTCAGCATCCCACACAAGAAAATCTGGAGGCACAGAAAATATGCTTTTAGAGACAAGATTCCCGTCTTCACATTTCATAGATAATAAAAATCTTCCAAAATAAATTTTCCAAAAGTAAATTTGTTCAGCAAAACAAAACAGTTCTCACAGGGGTTTCAAACATCATTTTGAGTTGTGAAACAGTTATCACCACTGAACTAAAGAAAACATGGTTCTGTTTTCTGAAATAACTTCCCAACGTTTGTGAACCATCCTGTTTGTTGTTTTTTTTTCTTGTGCTTAATTACCAATTCTGCTGCATTGTTGCTTACTCAAACCCTTCTGTGTTGTTAAGCAAACAGCATCAGCTTGGTTGTTTATACTACTGCAGCTCAGAAAAATATTTCTCTTAACTTAAAGGAAACTTTAACTTATGTCTAACCTGGCTTATGCTTCCAAACAAAGGTTCAAATCAGCCTTCCACAGCTAAACCCATTCACTCAGCTTTGCAACAAATTCCAAGAACAAAGGCCCAAACTCAGAAATACAGAAGAAAGGCAGGCACAAAGAACCGTGGATAGAATATGTTCCCAGTTCCAAAAGTCTAGTACCCCATATTGCATCACTGTGTGTGTAAGTAAAATCCCCAAATTTACCTTATTCTATGTTGAGGCTTATTTCAGATTTCATGGCTTTGAGATACTTATCTAGTTTAATGCACTTGACCTGATATGCAATGTACTGAAGTGAGAAAATAACATAAAGTTTTAAATACATGGGCAGCTGTTTTTTGCTTAGCATTAAACAAGTGTTCAACTTATATATCAATTATAATTTAAAACTACTACACTTGCATGTACTTCATTCATACATCTCCTGCCTACATGTCCCTGCTTGGGACACTGCAGTGAAGGTTCTTTGGTCACATATATCTGGCTCAGGCAGCACAGATTTTGGCTGGTTACCCATGCATTAATGTTCTTTTTTTCCCTGTTCTTTTGTGATAATTTTGAAGTTACCAAAAGTTAGGAGCAGTTACTGGTCAGCTGCTATCCGTGCACAAAGACATACCCTGCTGTTTTTGTATCTGCTATGTGGGTTCCACCTCTGATCTTCCCAGGAGTGAAGGTTATTTCTGTTGAGCCAATTTCTCCGCCTTCCAGCTTCCCCTCACATAGATCCCGAATCATCTCCAATCCAGACAGATGCTGAGGCCTTGGAGTGGCAATACAAAGTTAAAGATACATGCAAGCAGGCTACATACTCATGTTACATTAAAAGAACTACTAAACACCAACTAGAAATACTGCAATTAGAAATTTCAGACCAAACATGGATCAGAAATTCAGTCTGGTTCCTGCAGTGCTTGTTCTGAGTTCACTGGGGCCAAAGGGGCAACATTCAGGGCCATTCTGGAATTTGCAGGATTCTGGTGTCTCCCATGAGAATGGCTTCAGACAGACGGGATGCAGGAGCAGTTGCTAGTCCTAATGTGATAAATGCTTGGGCAAAAACGCAGTGGTATAGTGATGGCAATACTGAACTGGAGCCAAGCCTGGGACTGGTTGCCAGAGCCACAAGAGAGCTAAGAGTTTTGCTATGTATCTGTCTTGCTGTGCTTGCATTTCCATTTGTATGAGTAATTTAAATAGGAAATAAGCGAACTGTTCATAACACATTGTGCGCTTGGTGAACCATGTTTTGCTGAGGCGTTCCATGACCTCAACTGTATTTCACGTTTCATACCGTGCAGTCTGCTTAGCGCCTTTGAAAATATATTCGAAATGCCCTGTAAACCCGCGGTGCCTGACAGTGACACCTGCCCTGGCAGCGTCCGAGGACGGGAACTGCGCTGAGGGAAGAGGGCGAAGGGCTCCGAATCCTCTCGTCGGGAGACTGCGAGGCGCCTGGTTCCTGCCCCGCCCTTCCTCCGCGCACCGTCAGGGACCCACTGACGGGATTTTCTGATAAAAACGCCCCCGACCCAGGCCAAGGGACATGAGGGCGCGGGAAAGGTCATTACCTGAGGCCAGCCTGGCTCCTCCCGGCGCGGATCCGGTGCACCCTCAGCGGCAGGCCCAGCAGGCAGCTCAAGGCCGTGGACACTCGCAAAATCTGCCCGCCCTGCACGGAGAAACTGCGATCGTCAGGCACTGCGGCACTTCCCACCCTGTTGGC